GCGGGAGGCTGAGCATCACCTGCGGCGCCTGCCGACAGCTCCCACCCTGCTCGGGCCTGCGGACGCGGAGGAGCTGACAACGCCGGGCGCTGCCTGAGCTGTGTTTGCTACGGATTCCCAGGCTCTTCACCCCCGCGGGCGGGGACGGAGCTGCCACTGTTGTGCTCAGGTACTGGGTGATGAAGCTGCTTTCCGCAGCTCCTCCTCTGCGCCGCGAGTCTGTAAGGGCAGGGCAAAGCCAACTCTGCCCCCGGGATGTCGGTCATCCCACGGGACGGAGCAGACGGGCCAGCGAAGGCGTCTTCCTTCTGCAAACCAAACCGTGACTCCCCGCACCGGCCAGGTTCCCACGAGACGAGGCTGGGGGAGGAGTGAGCGGTGTTTGGAAAGGAAAATTAAAGCTCAGCAAAGCCACCCACCCACCCAAAAAGCTGCTGAGACGGCAGCGTCCCGAATGAGCGTCTCCCAGAGGGCCAGGGCCAGCTTTCCATCAAATTCTGGTAAGCAGGGTTGGGCTCAAACACCCCGAGTGCCCCCTGTAGCAGGGGCCGCGCTGTTTTCCAGCCATCGCTCACGGGGGAGGCACCCGGTAACGGCGTTTGGCGACTCAGCTCACTGGGAAACACATTCTGCCCACGCAGCCGCTCCCGATTCCATGGGCGCAGGAGCGTACCTTTCATCGAGACTGCCGCTGGGGGATGCGGAAGGGCTGGACTGGGCTAGCTCGGTCACGTCGGAGATGATGGGACCGGAGTTGGCTGAAGAATCCGGGGAATAGAGGTTGGAGCCACTGTATGCTGGGGAAGAAGCCTGGAATGACAATCACAGCATTCGCGGTGTGAAGCGCTAGGCACGTTCCGCACGCCGTCCCACCGACGGGAGCAGAGGCACAGCGCAACAGCCCCAAATCCTGACCCACCCCCGGGGGACGGCAACGTGGCACTCCACAGCAGGCCTAGAAATACACGACTAAAACCTCGCTTTCCTGGAAATAATGGAATTTAACAAGTACAAACATTGGATTCTTCTGGATCATCGAAAGCTTGGGTTTTTAGAAGCCCAGCCTTTCAGCTTCTCCTTGCCACTACAACTCCACTCTTTTTTTCTCAAGTGAAAGCTGAAGTTCCTTGAGGCCTGCCAGTCTAAGACGTTACAAGATTCCCACACTGGTAACAGCGACGTGGATCACGGAATGCGTTTTGGTATCAATCTTGCAAAGGAGCAAATGAATCAAGACACCTGAGTGACCCTGGATCCCCTTCCACGCCGTGCGTCGGCGTCTGTCAGCCCAGGACCCAAAGCAAACTGCGATGAGAAGACGCGCCCAGGGGTCAGGAAACAGTGGGGGCCAAGGAGAATCCAGGGCGGGAGATTCTGCCCCAATTCTCAGGACTGCCCTTGGCTTTGAGCTGATCCGGGATCTCAATCGCCCTCCTCCTTCGGTCCGGACACTTCGGACAGTCCGTGATGGTAGGGATGGTTTAGAGGGGACAGCTATGGTTGGACACCATGATCTTGAAGGTCTTCTCCAACCAAGTGATTCTGTGACAGAGCCGTAGCTGGAGAAAGCCCCGGTCCCTCCTTACCTTCAGGTGAACGTTTGACCACCTCTCCTTTAACGGGCGCCCGTACGGCGCGCCGTAGCTTGGCTCACACCAGCGCCACATTGACCGCCTTCACCGGCACTCAGCGCAGCCAAGGCCACGGCGCAGTTGCACCCCCTCAGCTCCCTCATGGTTGAAGAGAATCCCCAAGAATCCCCAAAACTGGTGCCATCCCACCGCACGCCGGGTGCCCGCGGGGCC